GTATTTGACTAAGTTGGACTGTAGCCCCTGTGCTATATTGCCTATGGCTTTTAGGCAAGTTCCTTAATATCTTTAAGCAAGGCCCATTTTGTAAAATAGAAATAACATCTACATCAATCAAATAATGTATAAGCATTGTGTCAATGCACATTGTGTTCAGTAGTGAATAGTTGCAATAACAACAGCATCAGCCACTGCAGCAATAAAGGAAAAACAACTCCAGAAAATCACTGTACACACTGTTTAAAGAGGCAAAATTGACTTGCCCACGTATCACGGTTGGGAAGAGAGAGTTGGCACGAGAACTTAGGTTTATTTTGGCAGATTCTTGTTAGCTCAAAATCCTTGATATACTTCTCTCACTTCTCTCTAAGCAGGCCCCCGTAGATTTTTATTCTGTTATACTTTGGTTTACATAAATCAGAAATATAAGTTAATAAATGTTCAGTTTAGAAAACTTTAGAAAACAGAAGCTAAAAAAAACCCCAAAAAACAAAAAACAACACCCCACCTGATCCCCTAAGATAGTTGCTAAGTAAAATATTTGGACATACATGTACAAAAAAATTATTTGTTTATCTCAAATTCAAATTTAGCTGGGCATCCTGTATTTTTGCCATACGTGGTAACCATACTCTATAAGAACTACTAGTGAGTATTATAGCATAAATGTTATATCTTATGTTATTTTATAAACAACTATATTTGTAATTTATTTTTATACATACAACTGGGACTTTATAATAAGATTAAGTATATATTTACCTAAGTTTACCATTGTTTTTTTAGTTTACTTTTCTTTCATTGTCTCACTTTTATAATTAAATATTTGTCACCAATTTATTTTGATGTACATTGTTAGATGCGGGTATTAGATTTTTCCCCTAAACGGTTAATTACTTGACATAATATCATATATTGAATTTTTTTATTTTTCTTATTTAATTAAATTTAGTGATTATAATATTATAATTTAGTCATTATAGTAGTCTCAATTATTAACTATACTTTCTTCTTTTTCTACCTAGTATAATTTCTTATCTTTATTTTAATTAATTTTTTAGCTTTCTGATTGTATATTAACATACGTTATAATTTTATTGTAATCTATGAGAATTAAATACTTTAACAAAATAATCAAGGTACACGTTATAAATAAATAAAATGCTAGCCCACAAGCACTATATAACCAGCATGTTTAAAATGAAATTCATGTTCTTTTTACTAAATTTGAATTCTGAATTCTGTTCTTCAACTCAATTCTTGATGATACTATTCCAGCCAAACAAAATCCTTTTGTTTCCCCAGGGTTTCTTTCCCAACCTCTACATCCAAACCATCCCCAGGCTCTTCTCATAATATATCCTAAATATCTCTCACATCTTTTTCCTTTTCTTAATCCTTAGTACTATTGGCTGAATTTATACCATTATCTCTGGCCTTGGTGGACCAATGCATTTTCCAAATAGTTGCCAGAATGTTCTATTTAAAGCTCCTCTCTGTAATTTTTCTCTTTCTGTTGGGTTTCAATGTGTTCAGAGCCAGTCCTCCTCAGCTCCCTCTACAAGCTCCACTAGTCCTCAGTGGAATTCCATCCACGTTCTTCCTCTGATGGCTGCCACAGATCTGGCCTGTCTACTAGCCTCATCTCTAAGTTGTTCCGTAACTCTTGCATGAATTCCAAACCCTTTTATGTTCCTTCTTTGCCCTTCCCATCCCTGTGACACGTGCACACTCATGCACAATCCATTTTATGCATTCATGCCTTTCCCGCCAGCATGCCACCACTGCCCTTTCCCTGGCTACCTCCTGTCTGTGTCAGAGACAACTGCCTGCTCAATATTCCTCTCTACTTCTCCCTTACTCATGGACCTTGATTTCATTGTGTAGCAATCTAGGTGTAGCCACTGGATGTAAATGGTAGTCATAGGTGGGCCTGCCAGGAAAGCTTCCTTATAGGACCCTTTTACCCTGACTCTCCCTTCCTGTCTTCTTTCTTGAAGCACAGACACTATGGCTGAAACTCTACGAGTCGTCTTGGACCTCACAAGGACTTTGAAGGTTGTCATATAAGAGACATTGACATACACATATACACACATTACTAGTACACACAGTGCAGAGGTAAAATACGCTTTATTGAGAACAATTTAGAAGCAGGGAAGCAGTGGAGCCTTTCACTTACTCCATAAAGCACATGCTTACTAGCAGGAATATAAACTTCAGGCTGTATTATACCTTGAATCCATTTAAATCTTTGTGTTGGTTCCAGTTTCACATCCACTTTGGAGAGAGTGATATTTTTGGTATCCTAAAATTATGAAGGCTATTTTCAAAATATGCCATTGACATATATGACAAGATTCCTCAAGATACAATACTATGTAATGCAAACTATTTGATACTACATATAAGTATTCTTAGTTTTTGCTTGCCAGTGTTGAATATGTTTGGAACTAATGTTCAGCTTATTTCAAAGCTTTGTAATTGCTGCTAATTTGTTGTTTAGAATGGCTTTGGGCCTTAGTCAAAGGGGTTTTGCATTTGTAGCTTGTTTCTTGGCTGGTGTCCCTTTGTAAACTCTGTACTTTATCTTCAATTTTTTTTTTTTTTTTGTCCTTTTTGAGACGGGCTGCACCGTGCTCAGCCAGTGGGCGCACTGGCCATCCCTATATAGGATCCGAACCTGCGGTGGGAGCGCTGCTGCGCTTCCAGCACCACACTCTCCCGAGTGCGCCACAGGCTCAGCCCTCATCTTCAAATTTTCAGCTGTACAAATTGCCACATTATGTCCTTATTTTTGTCTTTTTTATGTATGTTTTTTCAAGGTAAAATATTTTTGATTTTGCAGACAGTGGCTCTTGATGGAACACTATTTTTAAAATCTGGTGTGATCTCTGGAGGGTCAAGTGATTTAAAAGACATGGCTAGATGCTGGGATGAGAAAGAGTTAACGAATCTAAGAGTCAGAAGAAGACAGCTAATCCAAGAGCTGAAGGTAAATCCATGTCATAAAAGTTACAAAATACTAGTGGAATAAGGGAGTGTGTTTTTAAACCAGGTCGGGGTTTTTTTGGTAATAAACATAGCATGCCTATCATTTAAAAATATTCAAATAATGTAGAATATAATACAGTAAAAAATAAAAATTTTATATCAGTGGTATTTGCTAAACACTGTTTGATGCTTAGCCTCAAGTGTTCTCTGTATATGCAAGTATATGTGTTTTCCTATTTTCTTTGCTTTAAAATATATTTTTGGGGCCAGCCCGGTGGCGCAGTGCTACAGTGCGCCGCTTGGGAATGCGGCGGCGCTCCCACCGAGGGTGCGGATCCCACATACAGACCGGTTCCCGCTCACTGGCTGAGCGAGGTGTGGGAGCAACACCGAGGGTTGCGATCCCGTTGCCAGTCCTGGTCTGGTACGGGCGCGACACTGAGGTTTGCGATCCGTTGCCAGACACGAAAAAAGAGAAAAATAAATAAATAAATTAAAAATAAATAAATAAATAAAATAAAATAAAATATATTTTTCCTGTAAGTAGTGTTTGCAACAAACTTTTTCATTTAATGCCATAAAATGACATGTTTTAATTTTCATATATAGAAAGTTATTTATTT